GCTGTCGCTGCGGAGCCACGGGGGCATCCGCGGGCGCATCCGCCGGCGCCGGGATGCAGCGGCCAGGAGAGCCCGGCGCCGCGCGCTTTGGGCCGCCGGAAGGCTGTGCTGACCACCGGCCGCATCGCTATCGCAGCTTCATGATCGAAGAAATCCTCACGGAGCCGCCCGGGCCCAAGGGTGCCGCTCCTGCCGCCGCCGCTGCCGCCGCGGGCGAGCTGCTCAAATTCGGCGTGCAGGCGCTGCTGGCCGCGCGGCCCTTCCACAGCCATTTGGGTATGTGCAGCGGCCGCCAGGCAGCGGACCCGGCTCGGCGGGCGGGAGGGAGCCCCGCGGTGGGACGACCCAAATCCACCCTCGTGCTGCGGGTGGGTCCAGGAGCAACTTGGGACGCAGGTCCCAGAGTGCGGCAGGCCCCGGGGCGCGCTTCTTCGCACACTCCCACTGGGAAGCAGAGGGTGCAGGCAATGGGCTGCGCAGTAACCGGGCCTTGTGCCCTCAGGTTACGCCAGAAGGACGCTTGCTCTCTGCTTCAAGGCCCCTTCGATGTCCCCAACGGGGTGAGGAGCCGGGTCCAGGGACTAGAGCCCACATCACCATCGTAGGTGCACAACCAATCTGCCAATCACTCTGGATCTAAATGACCTCAGGCCCGGAAGCCTGTGTTTTGCCTTAGAGAACTGACCAGCAATGGTCGTAGTTGCCCAGACCAGGAAAGCTGGGACCTCTGGAGAAGAGGCTCTCGCCTCCCAGTGCTGGGTGTTGACGCTGGCCAAGTAGGCCAGTAGCCTCCTCGAGCCCGGAGCTTTCCAGCCAGCGACAAACTCAGGCCTCTACTGCAGCCAGGATCTCCCTAGGCCTTACTTGTGACCAAAGAGGCCTGGTTGTTCGCCTGCCCGGCTGGCCCTTCCACTTTCAGGAAGGCTGGGCGTCCAAGCATTTTGAACCATTTGCTCAGACGTTTTCTTCCAGGCTCCTGTCTCTTAGATGTGGGTGGACAACCTATGGCGTGCTCTATCCTGCACGCCTTCTCGGCCTACCCCTTCTATTTACTCGCATCGGTTGACGACTTCCTTTTCTTTCTCTGGAGTGGCTCTCTCTCTCCTCTCCCACTTTTCCCCTCAGAATCATTTCTTTTCTGTCCTCCCTAAACTTCCCAAACTCAGACGGGTCCCTTGTCCGGACCCAGATCCTCTAAAAGAAACCTACAGGGAGGAAGCCCCGTATGCGGACTCCATCCCCACTAGTCCTTCCCTGTCCCGCACCAGCCCTGGCTCTGTCCAGGTGGCAATCGGTCTAGTTTGCCTGTTTTAAGTTCATCTGGATCACAGCCCCTCTGTTACTTTTCACTTTCCATCGACTCTGTGGTTGATAATTCGTTTGAAGCGGGCAAAAAATCATTTTAGGGCTAAAGAACACGGAAACGTTTTCTTGGGGAAGAACCCAAACACAGAAAACGAGAAAGACAATTTTCGAGTTCTCAGGATGCTTTGGAGACTGGCAGGAGGCGATCGACCCTTTCCTAGATGATGTCCCAGCCTAAACCGGCAGCGTGGCTGCAGTACAGCGCGGCAAAGACCAAAAACATGCCCACATCCCGCCTGGTTCTTTTTCCGAATGCCGTAGAATCGATTTGGTTGGAGCAAAAGTCTACCTTCTTAACTCGCAGCCATTTCTTCTTGGTTTTCTTTTTCCTGAAAGACACACTGCGCTCTTCCTCCAAGAAGGGAACTTGTTCTTAAGAGCCCCGTAATCTCAGAGGCTGCTGGGGCATAGGAATGCCAGAGCAGAGCGCAGGGTGGGGGAGGTCCTTCTCTGCATTCAGGGATACCCAAGTTGAGGAGGGTCTCAGGGTGTGTGGGGTAAGTCTTGCACAAAGTGGCGGGCGCCTGGCTCTGGCTGAGCTCTGGTTTCTGGGCATTGCGAAGTGCAGTGGCCTTGAGGCTTGGCCAGCTCACCCGACTCCCCCCCCCCTTTTTTTTTTCTATTCCTGCAGCAGTTCTGAAGGCAGAGCAGGCCGCGGTGTTCAAGTTCCCGCTGGCGCCGCTTGGCTGTTCCGGGCTGGGCTCGGCCTTGCTGGCCGCGGGGCCCGGGCTGCCAGGAGCCGCAGGCGCGCCGCACCTGCCGCTGGAGCTGCAACTCCGAGGGAAGCTAGAGGCCGCAGGCCCTGGGGAACCCGGCACCAAAGCCAAGAAAGGGCGCCGAAGCCGCACAGTGTTCACTGAGCTCCAGCTGATGGGCCTGGAGAAGCGCTTCGAGAAACAGAAGTACCTCTCTACCCCTGACAGGTAGTGTGGGGCAAGACTCGGGTGAGCAGACGGTAGGAGGGTGGTCGCCTGTCCCGCTGAGGGTGTGCGCTGCTCTTTGCAGAATAGATCTAGCTGAGTCCCTGGGCCTGAGCCAGTTGCAGGTGAAGACGTGGTATCAGAATCGGAGGATGAAGTGGAAGAAAATAGTGAGTGTGGCTGATGGCTTCCTGCATGCCCAGGTTTCCTGGGCCATGCACATGTGCCCTTCAAAAGCTGCCTTCCTCGCACCCTCCTCGCACTAAAACTTCTGCCCAGCCCACCTGGTGCACTCTGTTCTCTCTGTCCGTTTGAGTTCAAGCTAACATTTCCTCCTGCCCCACTACACCTCCTAGCAGCGTCTAACTCCGACACCTTGGACACCCTCTGCCCAGCGGTCCTCAAATGGCTGCTATTTCTTTGGGGCTGGGAGTCACTCTTGATGTCTTGGTTGGCTCCTTCAGCCCCACCTGGGCCCTGGGCATCGGGGGTCCTTGGTTTCATTCCCACCTCATCCTCCGAACAGGTGCTGCAGGGCGGGGGCCTGGAGTCCCCTACCAAGCCCAAAGGGCGGCCCAAGAAGAACTCCATCCCCACGAGCGAGCAACTCACAGAGCAGGAGCGCGCCAAGGAGGCAGAGAAGCCAGTGGAAGTGCCGGGCGAGCCTACTGACAGGCATTGCGAGGACTGAGCTCCGCCGAGGGTGCTACACCTGGGACCCGGTTCCCCCGTGCCATCTGTCCGCGGGAACCCATGAGTTGGCCCTTCCACGTCCATGCCGTTTGCTTTCGAAATGTTTTATTATTACGTTGAATGCGGACAATTAGCGGCCAAACAAGGAAGGACACGGCCCTGAAGTCAACCCCAGGTCTCAGCGAGTTTCCAGCCCTGAGCTGGGAGAGTCTATGCCAACGCGGCTGAAGCTTCCCGTCTTTCCCAGAGCTCCGCGGTGCCTGGTGCTCCACGTGCATTCACGCCCTGCTCCAAGTCCACACTCCCCCCCACCCCGCCCCGCCCGCCTCTGGTCGGCCTTCTGGGCCCGGACTCCAGCAAGCATACACCAGCTTCTGCGCCTTGGGGACTCCGCCACCAGGCGCAGGCACCTATTACCCTGCCGAGCCCGCGCCCAGATGACCCTGCAGCTCAGTTGAGGCCTGGTCGGTCCCCGACATCGCTGGGGCTTCTACCCTCCTCTTGGGAAGACGGTGACTTTTTTTCCAATAAAGTATTTTATGACACAGTGGGGCTTGGTGCTGGACTTCAGAGTCCACGAGAGAGATGGAAGTAGCCATGAGGTATTAGGGCACTCCAAATCACTTCTAAAATATCATCTAACACAACGGAGGTGAACGGTGCCCTCCTCCCCAGGCCCAGATGTTCTGGGAAGCTGGGCTGCTGCAGAATTCTATGAATAGATTTCACCCTAGGTGTGTGGGAGGGCATAGACTTAGCCTTGCTTCCTTCCCAGCTGGGGGCACCATCACTCATGGCGGAGGGCCACCAGTACTAGAACTCAGTTATATTAAGTCTTTGGTTAGGTCTCCTGGGACTTGACCTATGTGGTCCTTGAGATGGTCCTGATCAGCTCTTTGGAGGCAAATGGGAAGCTAGCTCTGTGTGGGCAATGTTTTGCTCAGAGGCCTCGGCTCAGCCCCGAAGTCCCGCCAGGTGAGTTTGCCCCATATAAGTGGGGATGCACGTCGGCAGTGAGAGCTCCTGGGGATACAGAGACTGAGCTACTGGGGCAGTCCCATTGAGGGGTATAGCTTCACAAAGTGTGCCTCTCCCAACCCAGAAGGTCTCAGTTGCTTGCCCTTCCTAGGAGTGATCTCAGCGCTCCAGTGTGGGGTTCAGTCTTACTGGCTGGTGGACAGAGTGATGTTGGGATTTGGGTCACTTTAGTAGTTAAAGCTCAGAAAAGGACACAACTTGACCATGCAGTTCCAGACAGGACTAGAATTCAAGGTGAGGTCCTCTGAAGCCCCTAAAATGCTTCAGGCTTTGTGTTTAAGAATATGGCAGTCACCTACACTAGCAGCTGTCCTCTTAAATTTTTTAAAGTTAGTTCTATCTGTGTGTATGAGTGTGTGTCTGTGAAGGCAGCAGCCAAAAGCATCAAATCTCCTGGAGTTGGAGTCACCAGCAGTTGTGAGCTGCCCTATGTGAGTGTTGGGAACAGGCACTTATTCCTCTACAAGAGCAATAAGTGCTCTTAACCCCTAAGCCATCGCTCCAGCTCCCACGACCCTTTTCTTACTTTGCTAGGTGATCCCTTCCTAGAATCTAGCTTGAACTTCTCTCTGGAATTTCCAGTCTCAAGGCCCAGAGAAACAGAAAACTAGAATCCACACACTATGAGGACTGGAGGAGTTTTCTATATCCCACTCCTGCCAGGTGTTTGGGAAATCATCTCTTGTTTCTCTCTCTCTCTCTCTCTCTCTCTCTCTCTCTCTCTCTCTCAATTATCTCACAAACAATTCCTGAGGAAGAGGGTGACCCTGGCTGGCTGGAAGGGACAAATCATGTGTGGGACTGTGCCCCTTAATTCCTTCTAGCCCTTGGTGTTACTCCCAAGCCAGCTCAACCTAGCAGTGTTAGTAATGTTCTTGTAGAAGGCTGCAGCAGCCAGGTCGCTTAAAAGACACTGGGTTTAATCTTTACAGTTCAAAGGAAAGCAAAGAAAAGGTCTGAGTTTGGCCAGAAGGTCTGGGGGACTGAGGTTCCAACTTTGTCTCTGTCAATTCTACCAAATTGCATGTGAAAGGGAGGAGGGCAGAACCCATGGGGAGGCCTGAAGAGGGGTACAGGGATTCCTACTCAACCAATCGCAGTATTTCCAGGGCCCTCCCATTTTGCTAGATTTGAAGGATGCAATCTTAGGCAAATTGTTTGCTAAGTGCATCTGTGTCTTCCCCAGGGGGAGCCCCTCAGTAGCCTGGCCTCAGGTGAGCAGGGACAGCTAAGAGGTAAACCAGGGCTCTAAGCACAAAGGCCCCCAAATTTCAGAATACAGTGCCCTCTAGACGGAGATTGGGAACCTCATTCGAGTCAGTGGGACTACCGGGGGAAGCTGAGTCTCAGAAGCGGGAATTCTCTATTCCTGGGTAGAATACGGTGGCAATGTTTGTCGCTGTCTATGTCGCGTTCCTTCTGGAATAAATCTGGACCAGGTGATGCAAACATAAACAAACCCACGAGAAAGGGGCGAGAGAAATGCCTGTCCTCCCCGGAGCAGATCAGAGCTTTCTTGCTTGTGAGAATCCCTGAGATCAACCTCAGCTTCCAGGCAGGATGGTCCCGGGAGGAGCGAAGTCCCAGACGGCTGCAATGCCGGCCGTTCTTGGGAAAGTCCTCCATCCTACTTGCCCTAGCCAGAAGGCATCAGCCTGAGTGCCACCCGTCCTGGTCCCCAAGGGGCGACCACGCCCCTTACTCCGAGGCGGAGGATTTGAGGGAAGGGAAGGTCCCCTCATTTTCATTCCTCCTGGACCCTGGCCATACAAGTCTTTTCAGGGCCCCAAGGTCCTGGGAAACAAACTGCGGAGACGTCGCGGGCGGGCGGACGAGTCCAGGGTGGTGTGTCCCGGAGCCTGGGGCGGAAGGCTGCGGGAGGGAGCGGGATTGGGCGTCTTGGGTTAGCTTTGGCCCCGGGGCACGGAAGACCGGCGAGAGCTGGGAAAAGACGGGCTGGCTCCCGGAGCGCCGCGAACCGGCGGGTGAGGCCGTTGCGTTTACACTTACTCGAGGTCTGCACTGCCCCAGGGGAATGTGCCGGGGCTCCGCAGTGCGCGGGATTGGGTGGTGGCAGCGTCCCAGAGACCCGCATCCCTCTTCCAAGGGCCGGAAGAGCGTCCTGCTGGGGGAACTAAGCTTTGGGTAGCGCTGGGCTGGCCTTGGCCGAGGGAGGACCTGTGGCTAGGAGCCTGGGAACCTCAGCGGGTCTCGGAGCCTCCGCCGGCTACAAGCTCCACCGCACAGCCCTGACATCGCCAGGATGGTCTTGACCGTGACTGGGGTGCACCACATCCCAACTGCGGTGCCTCACTCTTTAAAAAAGAAAAAGGTTACTGCTATTGCCTTGCTCCCTTCCCTGTTCTGGATCCTTCGAAGGATCGACTTGGGAGCTAACATAGTGGAATGGAAGAAAGAACCGTGGCTGGGGTCACGTTAACTGCGGTGGAGGTTTGGGGAGGCCCAGAACGCCTCCCAGCTAAGAGTGGGCGAAGGGTTGGTCTCAACTCCTTGGGAACACTACTGTTTAGTCATATCCCAACTCCAGGGTCCCAGAACAGGCGCTTCCCCGGTTTACCGGGGTCCTGTGGCCTGATTTCATTTCCACCGGCAAGGAAACTGCTCCCTATTTTGTTTCTTCATTCTTGGAGCCCCTGACCTAGCAGAGGCAGCACAGAAGAAACTCAAGAGACATCACCCACGCCTCAGTCTGGTTCAGGCCAGGAGTCCCAGGAAGCGAGCTGGCTGGGACCCGGAGTTCTGCTTGGCTTCCACGGAAGCAGGTGAAGGAGCTGGGGCTTGAGTGTGATGCAGACTGCAGGCTGAGTGTGCTGGGTCCTAGGACACTCCTAACTTCCTCCCTGTCCCAGGCACCTGTAAGAGGCTCTCTAGGGCAAGACCTCCTCTGCTAGGCCTTTCCTACTTTCTGGAAGGGGACCAACTCATAAGACTTCAAAAGCTCAAATTGTCCCAGTTCTCATGCAATTAGTCTGGGTTCTTGTGACAGGTGGGACCCTCTCTTGAGATGTCAGAATGGATTACTGTGTCCCCTGGCCAGGAGGCACTAGCTAGGACCAGGACAGCAAGCAGAACGGACCCACGAGATCATCTCAGCCTCTTGCTCTCTCTCTCTCTCTCTCTCTCTCTCTCTCTCTCTCTCTCTGTCTCTCTCTGGCTTTTTTCTCATCTAAAAAAAGTTTTTGGTAGGTAGGAGGGGTCTCTCTCTCTCTCTCTCTCTCTCTCTCTCTCTCTCTCTCTCTGTGTATGAGTTATTCATTTCTTTTCTCCTTTTTCTAATCTAGGTTTTAATCCTTTTTCTGGTGCTGAAGATCAGTGCCAGGCAACCATTCTCCTATTGAAGGACATCCCCAGGCTCCTCCTTTATTTTTCAAATGTAAACCAAGAGTGGTTTGAAATAAAAATCCATGTCCTGTTAACCTAAGAGATCTTTGGGTAAGCACAAAATAAAATTTCCAGGTGATGGAAAAGCAATGGGCTTCAGCTTCATAGACAACATTTTTCCTTTCTTAGTGCTTCAAGAATTGTGTATCTGATATCATAGCATCACAGATCTTCTAATATTTATTAGACTCTTACAAACTCAGCTGCTTTATTTTTCTTTCAAAAGATTTATGAATGTACATAGGTGCATGTGTGCAAGTGTGTGAAGGCCAGAGGTCAACCGCAGATGTCATTCCTCAGGAGCTACTCACCTTATGTTTTACATTTTTGTAAAATATTTTTAAGTGTATGACTGTTTTGCCTTTGTGTATTTAAGTGCACCACTTATATTCAATGCCCATGGAGGCCAGGAGATGGCGTCAGATCCCCTGGAACTGGAGTTACTAATGTTTATAGCCCTGTGTGTGCTGGGAACAAAACTGGTGTGCTTTGCAAGAGCAGCCAGTACTCTTGTCATCTCTCCAAGCTCTCACCTTGTGTTTTGAGACATGGTCTCTCACTACAACTTGAGGCTCACTAATTAGGCTAAACTATGTGGCCAGTAAGCCCCAGAGATCCTCTTGTCTCATTTCCCTAGCACTGGGATTACAAGCATGTACCACCAGGTCCAGCTTTTTATGTGAGTGCTGGGGATTAAACTCAGGTCCTCAAGTTTGTGTCTCCTGCCTCTCCTCTACCCCCTCCCCTTTCCCCTCCCCTCCCCTCCCCCTCTTCTTCCTTCTCCTCCTCCTTTCCTCTTCTTCTTGCTCTCCCTTCTCCTCCTCATCCCCCTCTTCCCCTCCTCTCCCTTCTCCTACTTCTCCTCTTTCTCCCCTTCCCCTCCTCCTCCCTCTTCTCCCCCTTCTCCCCTTCCTCCTTCTGTTTCTTCTTCTTCTTCTTCTTCCTCTTCTTCTTTCTTCCCCCTCCTCCCCTTCCTCCTCCTCCTCCTCCTCCTCCTCCTCCTTCAGCAAACATTTATTGAAGTGTGGCAGGCATCTCCCAGCATAGGGGACCTAGACTCCCTCAACAAGCCTGAATTGCCACCTGTGTCTAATGGCATC